TCCTTCTTAGCCGCCGAGACAGCGCTCCTGCCGGCGAGGAGGATCAGACGAGGGGTTCGGGAGCGATGACCTTCTTTTTTGTTTTGTTTTGTTTTCAGTACTTGATGGGAGCGCCTTCCTTACCAATCACTATCCCGTAGTTTTCTGGCGCACGCACACGCACACGCACACGCACACGCACACGCACACGCACACGCACACGCACACGCACACGCACACGCACACGCACACGCACACGCACACGCACACACACACACACACACACACACACACACACACACACACACACACATGCACAGAAAGAGAGAGAGCGAGTGCGAGTGCGAGAGCGAGAGCTAGAGCTAGAGCTAGAGCTAGAGCGAGAGTGAGAGAGAGAGATTAGCGCAACGTCGTCTCCTTCTCTCCTACCAGTTCTTGAAGGAATACCTCGAGTCTTCCTCCAGACTTGGAAATGTTATTCGGCCGAAGCGGCGGTGCGTGTTTGGTACTCTGGCTGGGCTTCTGAGTCTTTTGGCTGCTTTCTTAACGAAGTCCACTCATGGGCGTTACTGGTAGGCGCCGGGATGGTGTATGGTCTCTGGTGCCGGATGGTTTCTAGCGCCAGGTAGTTTCTTGATACCGGATGGTTTCTAGTGACTGGTATTCCCTGATGCCGGATGGTTTCTAACGTCAAATATTCTCTAGTACCGGATGTTTTTTTAGAGCCAGGTGGTTTCTAGTGCCACATAGTCAAGGGGTCTCTAGTGCCGGTTGGTCTCTAGTTGACCATAAAGTCTTTACACCTCACATGCATACGCAGTGCTCTCATCTCCCCTCAGAGCCCATCCTCAGGTCCTCACCAGGGACTCGTTATCGCTAGTGAGTTTAATGGTTTCCCCCGATTTCATGAATTACAGTTAAAAGGAATGTTGGAGTTGTTGCCAAGAACACGCAGCTGTCATTTATTTCTGGGAGTGTCCGTGGAATCTGCGTTTTGATAGGCATGACAGTAGTAGTAATGGTGATGCTTTTTAATACATAGAAATTATGTTACTCTTCTGATGGCAACAGATAATTACCTTAGTGAAGAGAAATGATAAGTGAGTATTATAATCATAAGCAAAATACAGATAACAGTAGCAGCGATCATGATTATAACCATAAAAAAGAGTCGATATTATTAAAAATGATTATCATAATCCGATTGGAATGATTAATCCTAATACTAATCAGCTTAAATACATTAAATTGATGTCAAACGCCCCTTTGCTTATGTCTGGCGAATAAATGTCAAAATAGTATGACTGTCTGAGCGTTATATGAGGCCGATATCAGTTAATGACATTTGCAAGGTAATCTTTTTGAAACATGAGTAATTTCACATTTTAATCTCTTTAATGCATCATTTGACTAGAGGTAAAGTTTTTAAATTGTTATAGCCGTGTGTTCTATTTATGTTCTGGGTCTAAATGGTAATGTTCGCGATAGTATATGTCCTGATAATTTGTTATTGTAATAAGATACGTAAAAACGATGTGAGTAGCAGTTAGATATAATTATTGCAATGTTGAGCGTAATAATAACGATGAGAATGATGCAATAACAATTACACCAACAGTGATAATGTCAACGATAGGATGGTGAGAGTGATAGTAATGTGATATTGATAAGGATAACAATAACAGTAATATTAGTTACAATCATGATATCAGTAATGTTGATAGTGGTAATGCTGATAATAATTGTGATAGTGATGATAATAACGACAACAGTAACAACAAAATGGTTATAATATGATAATGATAACATGAATAGTGATAATGATTTTGATTATGATAATAGTAAAAGTAATGATACTGCAAATGACGATAATATAGATAATAGTAACGATAACAATAGCAGTAATGATCACTATTATGATGTTATCATAATTATATTATTAATGATGGGAACGGTAACATGCATGTATGTATGTATGTATGTATGTATGTGTGTGTGTGTGTATCTTATTATTATCGATATTTCTTATAACAAAATCGACAATGGTTATAGTGAAGTTAGTAATAATTACTACTAAAAATGATATTAATAGTAATAGTAATATTAGTAACAATAACAATGATTATAGGAATGAAAATGATAATGACAGTAGTAATAGTGGTAATAATGATAAAGATGATAAAAGTAATAATAATGATAATGGTAAGGATTGTACCGATTCTGATAACATTAGTGATTAATGTAATTATGATAATTCAACATAATGAAAAACTGGTTATTTTATCTTATGATATTCTGAAGGACAAAAGCATTGGAGAAATATGTATAATACATCATTTTCATTTTTTTTAATCAAGCACATTTATCTACATTAATTTTTGCAGGTTTTATTTATAGATGTGAAAATGTTAATGTGCTTGTTAAACGCTTGACTTCACTTTTGATGTTTATTACGTGTGACTTGCAAATTGATATTGCAAGTTAATATGGCTTTTATGGCGAGTGATGTCCAGGATCGACCTCCTTTGTGTCTCCGCCCCTTAGATCGAGCTTTCAAAATATTCATCATCGAAGTCTGTCTGTCCGTCTGGTTCCCATGACCTTTCCTGAAATGTAAATTCCCCGTGTGACCTTGTTCGCCTATTTGCTTGCTCGTGTTTGGCTGCATGCTGATTTCTGTTTGTCTGTCTCTCTGTCTCTATGTCTCTGTCCCTCTGTCCCTCTGTCCCTCTGTCTCTCTGTCTCTCT